TAACGAAAGTATCAGAATTATTACAGAGAGTAGGCAATACGAGAATGCAGTTCGCGTCATTCAGTGCGCTGTAGAGAAGCCGATGTTTGGAACTTTGATATGCACAACTCAAAAGGAAAATTGATGTTCCGAACTCTGTCAACATCTGAAGAAAGCTATCGCGGACGAGCAATCAAGTTGAGACTTTGATAGAAAGGTCAACATGTCGATCTAGCCGGTTCACTTAAAATTCATACCCACATCTGTTCCTTGAAAGATTGAGCTGAAATCGCTATCGTCACTTGCGTAACCATTCTTTGAATGGAGATATGAAGCACAATGGTACTAGTCTGAGCTCGCGGGGTGGGAGGTTGTAGATCCCTTGACGAGTCCCTCGATTACACCTCAGCAACAAATTGAAAGTCGTGTCGAGGAAGCGGGCGGATCCCTACGACCCCCACCCCCCCCTTAACGGAGACCCCAATGCGGCCACTTTTACCCTGCAGATCCGTTTTTAAGCAAAAACACATCCGGTTTTATAGCAAGAAAAATGTCAGATTTCGATGCACGAGAGGAAGGCAGCGCAGTTGAGGCGCGAATGCCTCGCAGTTCAAATCTCAAGCCAAATTTCGCACAAATTAGTTTCTCCTTCTATGCTTTGAAGGCCACTCACTTCATGCCACCTTGGCTCGAATGTAGAATTGGAAGGAGGTAGTGACTACAGACAGTGGAGGAGCTTCCGATATAGCGGCACTAACCGTACGGTCGCGTCGCGCGTGCCTTTCGATTGGAGCGTACCAGTTGAAAAAATCGCCAAATCTAGCCCCTATTCGACGGACTGATTCCCTTCAATTACAACCATTTGGAAAAGAAAGGCACATTCCTAGCAACGAGACCTTACTTTCTCGATTAATTTGAGGTTTCTTTTAGAGACGTTCACCCCCCCCCCCCTAGTTGGGAACCTCGAGGATCTGTCGAGGACGTTCAAATTTCCATGCGAGTTTCTTCCTTTGAGAGCACACTTGGTGCATGTTCCTCTCTTTCTGGGATGTGCCATGCAATATCCCACACGGATTCAGTTGAAAGGTGCTTTGCCTAAACGAACTTGCTTTTGCAAACCAAGAGGTGTTTCTGGCCCTGATTAATTAGAATACCTCTCATGGCCATAGCATATTGTGATCACTGTCTCATTTGCGTCGCTTCCTCGCTTTCACTCCAACCCTGTTCCGATGAGTGACGTATTTGCGGTTGCAGCATGTGATGTCAAGCGATGCAAATCTGCCCGTGCTGAACTGTCTCTCTCATGAGTCCTGCCTCCTACATAGATTTTCAAAGCGCTTCCGTTGATATGGAGTGAATATTTCCCACTTCCATCAAGCACGATTCCTTTTACAATGCGCGCATCTGCCTATGCTTATGTCATATTGGACAGCTCTAGCAAGGTAACGGAGAGACACACTTTAAATCATAGTGTTATACAACGTCCATTTCATAGAGCCTATAGGTAAGCCATTTGCTCTAGAGTACATATTGTAAAAGAACGTGTGGCACACGCGCGAGTAGAGTGACGGCAGTACCCTGTGGCACCTTGTTGTCTCTAGCGTCTTAGCGTCCCCTCACTCTCACTTTAAAGGTATATCCCCCCTCCCAGAAATTGTTCGCGAGCGGACTTCACCTTGGACCGTCTGTTCACATGATGAACGGGAACAGAGACTGGAAGTTAGTGAACAATATAAGTATGTGCATGAATAACCATACAAAAAGAGTGATAAACATCTGTAGCGAAGACTTTCATAACAACTAACTTTTATATCAATGGTAGAAGGTATCATGTAGAGCAAAACCATATTGTCAGCCTTTTTCAGCAAATCCAGAAAAGCTTGCATGATGTCGTCTTCCAATACATCATGTTCTTCGAAACGATGCAGACGATAATCAAGTCTGATAATTCATGACCTAGCAACAGATGCTATCCCTTTATCTCAGTAAATATCCAGTCCATCGCCTTTGAAGGACGCCACCTGAAGATAACTTTTTACAATGAGCGCGGAAGGACCCACTGTAACCTTTTCCAGACCGCTTTATTCACATTTAAGTTCAACTACCGCGAAGAGTTCGAGAATACATACCTGACGGACGAGTTCGAGAGAATCGACCTGGACATGGCACTACGCGGCCGAACGAAAGCGTTACCATTGAATAAGGACGAGAAGCAAAAGGTAGTTGAGATGTCCTATATACTTTCTCTTTGGGCCACAAGGCTTATTTTTGCATTGCAGAGGTTAGCCATTTTTCGTGCGTAGACACATCGGTGGAAGGCTGTTTGATCCAGTTCACTAATAATGGTAATAGAGGTCAAAATAGTGGCCTTCTGAAATATCTCTCGAAAATCGAGACTGAGGATCAGAAAGTGAAGCACAGCCTCTCCTTCCTTCCTTGCTCACCTCCTCGAACTCGTTGTGACCGTAACTCGTCGTCATCTTGAGATCCACTTGTTTCCCTGGATAACAACCATTACCTTTCTGAGGGGAGTGCCTCTATCACGAGTATGTTCCAAACGATCGCTCTAGGCGCACCAACCCCACTGTTGGGCTGGTTCTCCTTCGTTCCGGTTCGTCCTAATAATGTCTGACACAAATAGCTCTCCATTGAAACTCGGTCATGCACGGGTTAGAATTCATCTGCTTCTGTGGAGCCAGCTTTGCATGGTAGCAGCAAGGAAAAGAGGTACATTATCCTGGTGCAAAATCAAGCTATGAAACCAACCTGGATCTGCTACAGTTGATTGTACGCAGTATGGTACAAAATTTATAGAGTACTCAAAAATTCAAGCTTAAGTGGAGGTTGAGTGGATCGTGTAGCTAAAACCGCCACAGGTTTAGGCTTCCACAATTGTTTCTGTGGCAGCATCTCTAAATTTGGAGCTGATTTAGTTTCTCTGACTGTCGTAACCTATCTTTGTTAAGTACATTCCGAGGAATTCATGGAAGATGACAGCGCGTGAAAAGGCCTACTACAGGCTTCGACTTGTAATTACGTTGATTCTCAGCGCAACACCATTCTGTTTCATTTGCATGGACGAGGCCATTTATTCGGTGAGTTGTAGGACAACCAGTCTTGTTACGACTGATTATGAATGATGATATATTTGCCCGCACTGGGGCTTCACCGATATTAACCGATATTATAAACCCTAAGCGTAGCTGTGTAATTGCGTACTGCGAGGTGCACCGTATCCCCACGCCTAATTTTATTCTAGTTGTCAGCTTTGGATCGCGGCCAAACTCCACAAGGTTGGGGCTTGAATTAGTTTCCCTGCTTGAGAGTCCGAGTGCTAACGCTCGATGGTCTATAGATGCAGTGTCATCAATGCGTGCACGTGCATGATTTCAATTATCACACGGACGATATGATACAGAAGTTGGAAGTGTCATTACCTACCACGTTAAGAACTAATGGTGCTACTGCTGCACTACACCACTACATAATGAGCAGTCGCCATTGTGGCACTATTAGTAAATTTTTTTCGCCGAAACTTGCTGTAGGAGGGTGATCAAGGCTCCCAATCACGAAAATGACATCCATTTTTGACGCTGGCGCCAATCGAATATGGGTACGATACTATTACTGTCCCAAAATCTCGAAAGTTCATTTTTCGTCGTAATTTTGCCTATAGGGGTAGTTCGATGCCCTGAGTACGAATATCAATAATCAGTTCAATAAAAGAGAGCAGGCGTATATAGCAAGAGTATATAAAAATAAAGTGTAATATAGAAGCACAACCGGCACAAAACAATACATTCTAGAAGAGATATAAAACTTGCTTATAGGGATAATGCTTATAGGGACATTCATTTTTGACGTTGGCGCCAGTTGGCGCCACTCTACCACGACGGCTGTTTTCACTTCGGTGTAAACTTGTATCAAGGGGTTATTTGGTGTGCTGAATATGAATATGACATTTGTATTTGCCGCTGACGCCATTTGGCGTCTTTTTTCTGCTCGTGCGCCCTCGCACTGTGTTGATGGCGGTCGCGACTAAGCCCTTCGCAAGGGGAGAGCTCAGGAGGTAAGCAAACCAGCCCGTTTGTCGCGCCCTGGTGCCCTTGGGTGGAATGGATTGGGAATGCATCGGCGGAGAGCACCGAGGACACGCAGAGATGGGTATTATAAGGGCCCAACACCCTATCTACGGGGACACGTCGCACTAGAATGCTCTGACGACTGATGCGGAACACTACTTACTAAAGGCTTTTATGACTAACTTTACAATAGCTACATGACTACATGAGAGAGATATATGAATGATATAGAGAACCTACGGGCGCAACCGGTAAGATAAGCGGCGGGGCATGCGAACCGATCCTTGAGCTGACGATGGTGGTGACATGACGACCGGCTCCAACCGAGGCTGAGGACTTCGTAGACGCAACCACTCGGCGAGGCGACAGGAAGACGACTGCCTGACTGCTGGCAGACGGGCGCGAATCGAGCAGAGATGCAGAGACTTCCCGCACTTCTGGATGTTGCATGCGTTCGAACCATGGGAAAGTGTCTGCGTCCGTGGGAAGGCGTAGTATCTTCGTCCTCCATGGCGTGAGAACGTGACTGGAGCACGGGATCCTATCGGCGCATACCCTTGCACGTTGAAAAGGTCGTGACGAGAGTCGCGACACCGCTTTGAAGTTTCTGCTGGGGCGGTATGCTGAATGTTGGGGAGGGGATGGGGTCCCCGACGATCGACGGACTACTTCAACTCGTCCTTAAACCGCCTCAATTTGATGCTTACCTCAGGGCTAAGCCTTAAAGAGAG